CCCCTCCAGGAAATGAAATTTAATCCCTACAATCCCCTGTTAATGATGGTCTGAACTTAGTGATTCTCTTCCAAAGAACATAGAAGGGAGTAAACAACAACTTCACAGTGGAGAGACCTATGTTGATATATCACATGCTCCCTAAGGTGATTATGGGGGGAGGGCTAAAACAGACACACACAATCCCTTTTCCCTTCCTCCTTTTCCTCCCCTCCTAAAACAAAGATGGGGTATCCAGCCCCATCCCTGAGAAGTTCACAGGAAAGACCCTAACCTGACAGGCAACCTGTGAAATGTGCCCACCCTCTACTACCCCATATAAAAGTGGTCTCTAACTACCTCCAGGTACAGACACCATCTTTGCACTGCCCAGGAGGGTCACTCTCCCCATTCAATAAACATGGCCTGAACATCTCTGTGACCTTGTTGCTGGGCACCACCATTTACACCTTTCACTGATGTGATGGCAAGATCAGTTCATCTCTATGGTATTGTTCCCTAACCCCCCCCCCCCGCAGTCTAAAAATAAAAACAACAAAATTACTTTAGACAGATACAAGTTGAGAGACATTCTACAAAATAGCCGACCAGGATTCTTTAAAATCTGTCAAGGTCATACATAAAATATGAAGAAAGAGTGAGAAACTATCACAGACCAGAGAAGACTAAAGAGACAGGATGATGAAATGCAGTGTGTCACCCTGGACAGGCTCCTGCAACAGAAAAAGGGTGTGAGTGGGTAAATGGGTATAATCTAAATAAAATCTGAAGTTTAATATATAATGATGTACCAGTGTCAGTTTCTTGGTTTTGCGTGCCATGGTAACACAAGATGCTAACATTAGAGAAAACTAGGTGAGAGGTATATGGGAACTTTGTGAACTACTTTTGCAACATTTTTGTAAATCTAATATTGCCTTTTTAAAATAAAAGGTGTGCTTAAAACATGAAACAGCCTGGATGTGGTGGCTTATGCCTGTAATCCGAACACTTGGGGAGGCTGAGGCAGGCGGATTGGTTGAGCTCAGGAGTTCTGGACAGGCCTGAGCAAGAGTGAGACCCTATCTCTACTAAAAATAAAAAAACTAGCCGGGCTTAGTTGTGCGCGCCTGTGGTCCCAGCTACTTGGGAGACTTGAGGGAAGTGGATTGCTTGAACCCAGGAGTTTGAGGTTGCTGTGAGCTATGAGACCATGGCACTTTACCCAGGGCAACAGAGTGACACTGTGACCAAAAAAAAACATAAAAGAAAAGTCAGCAAGGGTCGGTATGCAGAGAAACTAGAACTCTCACCCATTGGTGCTAGGAATGTAAAGCCGTACAACCACTTCAAGAAGCCATTAAACTGAAAAAGTAAAAAATACACCATATGTCTCCACTGCTCCACTCCTAGGCATTTACACAAAAGAAAAAAAAAAAAGAGAGAGACCTGTACAGGAATGCTCACAGCAGCTACATTCACAGTACGTCAAAGCCGGAAAATAGTTATCAACAGGTGAATGGATAAACAAACCATGGTACATCCATGTAATGGACTGGTACTTAGTTTTAAAAAGGAGCAAGCTACAACATGGACAAACCTCAGAAACACTGTGTTGAGCAAAAGAAGCCAGATGTAAAGGTATACATACTTGTATGAATCCATTTTAAAAAATTAGAATGGGCAAAACCTATCTGTAGGCCGGGCACTCTGAGAGGCCAAGGAGTGTGGATTGCCTGAGCTCATGGGTTCAAGACCAGCCTGAGCAAGAGAAAGACCTCCGTCTCTAAAAATAGCTGTGCATTGTGGCTGGCGCCTGTAGTCCCAGCTATTTGGGAGGCTGAGGCAAGAAGATCACTTGAGCCCAAGAGTTTGAGGTTGCTGTGAGCTATAATGCCAGGGCATTTTACCAAGGGCAACAAAGAGAGACTCTGTCTCAAAAAAAACAAAAAAAAAAAACAAAAAAAAAAACCACACCAAAAACAATCTGTAGTGACAGAAAACCGAACAAGGGTTGCCCTGGACCAGAAGAGAGCCAGGGACTATGTGGGAAGGAAGAGGGAACTTCTGGAATGATGGGAGTGTTTTCTATCTTGATTATGGTGGTAGTTCCTCAATTACATTATAATTTACATTTAAAATGGGTACATTATTGGGAAAAATTTTGTCATAGGATACAAAATTTCAGTTAGATAGGAGGAAGAATTTCAAGAGATCTGTTGTACAGCATGGTGACTATAGTTAATAATAATGTATTGTGTTCTTGCAAATTGTTAGGAGAGTAGATTTTAAGGGTTCTCACCCTTAAATAAGTATATGTTAATTATGTGTATAATGTATATGTTAATTAATATCCAAAATAAGTATGTGAGATAATGTATATGTTAATTAGCTCAATTTAGCCATTCCACTATAAATATTTCAAAACAACATGTGGAACATGAGAAATATATACAATTTTATGTCAGTTAAAAGTTGTTTTTAATAATTTTAATTATAGGCTTGGCCCTTGTAGCTCAACTGGCTAAGGCACCAGCCACATACACTGGAGCTGGTGGTTTTGAATTCAGCCCCAGCCTGCCAAACAACAATGACAACTATAACCAAAAGATAGCCGGGTGTTGTGGCAGGCACCTGTAGTCCCAGCTACTTGGGAGGCTGAGGCAAGAGGATCACTTGAACCCAAGAATTTGAGGTTGCTAGAGCAGTGACACCACAGCACTCTACCCAAGGCAACAGCTTGAGACTCTGTCTCAAAATAATAATAATAATAATGATTTTAATTATGAAAAACAAGTAAACTAGGGGTGGCACTTGTGGCTCAAAGGAGTAGAGTGTTGGGTCCATATGCCAGAGATGGTGGGTTCAAACCCAGCTCCAGCCAAAAACTGCAAACCCCCCCCAAAAAACAACAACAACAAAAAAACAAATAAACTAAACTAAAATGGGAATATTGTATGTAAATTACACCTCAATAAAGTTAACAAAGGACTGGGATGGTTCATTTTATGTTTCAACTTGGTAAGCCACAGTACTTAGATATTTGGGCATACAGTATTCTATGAAGGTATATTTATTTATTTATTTATTTATTTTGAGACAGAGTCATTATGTCGCCTTGATAGAGTGCCATGGCGTCATAGCTCACAGCAACCTCCAACTCTTGGGCTTAAGCGAATGTCTTGCCTTAGCCTCCCAAGTAGCTGGGACTACAGGCACCTGCCACAACGCCTGCCTATTTTTTGTTGTTGTTGTTGCAGTTGTCATTGTTGTTTGTCAGGTTCGAGCTGGATTCAAACCCTCCAGCTCCAGTATATGTGCCTGGTGCCCTATCTGCTGAGCTATAGGCACCAAGCCTGAAGGTATTTTTAAATGAGTTTAACATATAAGTCAGTAGACTTTGAATACAACAGATTATCCTTCATGATATGTGTGGGCTTTATCCAATCAGTTGCAGGCCTTAATGGAAAAAGACTGACCTTCGCAGGAGAAAAGGGAGTTCAGCCAGCAGACTGCCTTTGAAGTTGAACTGCAAGTCTTCTCTGGTTCTGTAGCCTATCCTGCCACCAAACAGCACCACTTGCCAGACTCCTCAACCATATGAGCTAATTCCTTAAAATAAATTGAATCCTTCATTCTCTCTTTCTCCATACACTGTGGGTGCCCCAAAAATCTATACACATTTTAAGAAAGGAAAAAAACTATATTAAATTTGTAATACTCAAGTCATGTTAGACTTCTGCAGTTACAAGAGGTGCTCAACATGACATGTATTCATCTTTTGTTATCAGAATATATTATTACAATTTTAATACAGTTTCTTTTTCCTTTCTTAAAATGTGTATACATTTTTTTGGTGCCCTCTGGAGAGAAAAGACCAACATGGCCACAGAATTATAAGCAATCCCTGAGTTACAAATATCTGACTAATGTATGACTCACACTTAGGAATGGCGGCTAATACAGATAAATGTACCTGTTCTGTCTTACATTCAAAGTCAACTTAAGAACAAACCTATGGGACCTATCTTTTTCATAATTTGGGGACTGCCTGTAGTGCAAAAACGAACATGAAATTTGTTCTCATTTCGCAACTCCAGTTTCTCTGCCTACAGCGTCAACACACGATGTATCTTTGTTGAATGACTCAGAGTTATTGTAAGGTTTTAGTTGACTAAGAACCTTGAGTTACACTGATTCGGTTGAAAGATACTGTCAGAATGCACAGCTTGGCTTCTGATTCAGGTTTTCTAAAGTAGTTTGATTTAAAATAGTTTGGGTGTATGTACCTTAACCACCCTTAGCAAGTTAAGCCTCCTAGAGATGATTTGTGGGCTGTCTTATTTTCAATCCCTGGAGAGATGTATTTCCTTCATCTCTGTGTCAGGGTATCCCTGCAGGGAGAACTAGGTAGTGTAAACATGTCTGGACGAGAGACTTGAAAGTTGTCTCATCTTTCTTTTCTGATTTTGCTGATGTCTGGGAACTCTTGTGTTGACCTAGCACATCTGTACCCTTATAAGAACTTCCTGGGCTCTCTTTCATGGCTTTTTCTATTATTGTGATTGGTTTTTTATCCCCTTCTAACTTGTAGGATGTTTGTAGTTTTTGATAGTTATAATTTTCTGACCCTCCAAGCACACAGGGGCTCTTCAATCTCAGTTGCCAGTGGCATTCGTTTGCAAGTATCATAGGCAAATGAGATTACTTTAGATAACTACACTTCCGTACTGGCATTCATATTTTACCTGGTAAGGGTTCCAATTACAGAGAGATATACCTCTTTACTGTGCTTGATATGGTGCCAAACTTATTTAGTTAATGAAAGATTTTGATGGAAATCTCTATGCTTAAAAGTTAAGTGATGTTTTGAGGTCACAAGGAACTAAAAGAGTTGAGTGTATATCACCTATTAGTAACTAACATAATTTTTCTGGTAGACATTTATCAACTTGACAGATTTAATTACTTTAACATTGTTGTACATGTTTACTCTTTAAAATATATCTTGTATCTCACAGGGCAAATCATACCCCTTCAGGGGCCCATTCCCGCCTGTGTGGAATCCAATTATCTACCTTGATTTTAACAACCTTTGGAGGACAATAGATGACATGGGACAGGAGGTAAAGTTTCTTTGACTACATTTGTATTTTTCATAAGATTAGTCCTTAAAAGAAACAAGGTACAGCATATCATCAGTGCCTAGCATATTGTTGAAGACATGGTAACAATTAGTAAAGATTTGTGAAAGGTGTGAATGAAGTTTCTTTCTAGCGTTCAAAAGAATGAAATGTCCAACAGATTGTTATAGTGCTTACAAGAGGACAGAAAATCATGTATCACTCAGCCTTCCTGAGATGATGTTTCTAATTTAGCAAATCCTTAGGATATAGCTAAGTAAGACTTCTAGGTCTTTGATTCATCACCATGCTCAAACCTGGAAACTCCAATTGGACATAATTTAGTGCAGCCATATGATACTTGTTAAAGAGTACACTTATGAATGTTCTCTAGAAGTTAGTAACTTAGTAATCAATATTTGGAAATAACCCAATTACAACATATGATACATCCATTTATTGTGCATGAAGTGTTATAAATTAAACATGGCTTAAGTGGTATAGATTTAAAATAGGAAATCTACAGAGATAGCATTGACTATATAGTAAAAGTAACTATTGGGGGAATTTGGAAAGATTAACAGTTTTCTTCAAGTTAGAGATTTTAACACTATTTAAATAGTTATTTAAAGTGGACAATTACATTTGTCTTTCTCCTTCAAATCCTCATCTGAATGTAGATTCCCAGTGATGCCCCATGGAAGGCACCCCTTGCAGAAGAGTGGGACCACATGACAATGAAGGAGCTGCTGGATAAGATCTGCTGGACTAAGTAAGACTCACCATTAGGCACAGGCATTTATCATGACCATTTTCCAGGGTTATTAAGCATTACCAGTCAACAGTTATGGTACAAAATAGCTGCTTTATGTCTAAAACCATAGCACCAGCCAAGTAGAATGCTGAAAAATGTTAGGACTGACTCCTATCCTAAAGATGTCTATAAAGCCAACTTACTTCTTTGGAATAATTTTGTACCACAAAGGTGGTATTACCCCATAGAATCCTCAAAACGGATCAGTATGTGTCACCTTCTTTACCCAGAACAGTTTAAAGACCATCAACTTAAAGATCTCACATGTCAAGTTGTTGATGTAGGACTACTTTTATATTCTACATTGATGGTCACATACAGTGATGGTTAATATGCATGTACCATATGGGATGTAGTACAACTCTTCAAGGACTTAAAGAAGAATTTCTAGTGACCTTCTCCAGGTAAGGTAGGGGAAATATGTATATCTGAACTCACTACTCCCCTTTAGTGAAAAAGATGTGGTGTTGAAAGCAAGTATCTGTGTGTTAAGCATTCAATTCTCATTGGCAGAGCTGAGAACTATACAGAAATTATTAAGCCTGCATATATAGACTATATGGAAAGGTGCTGTGTTCTTGGATGGCATGGAAAATGGAAAGGAGTGTAGGAGTTCCCATTCAAGCTCATGGCAAATCTGTAGTAAGCAAAAGTAAGAGAAATGGAAGCCATGTTCAAGGAGACTGTCCTTTCATGCTAAGCAACGTTAGTTGGGAATATGCTTGGCCCTTGGATTGATGTCTTCATACTCTAGGCATTGGAGAGGGAAGCTGGGTCACTGCCAACTCAAAGTAAAAACAAATGTCTAGGCATATCTGAATCTAAGAAGTAGAAAAAAATCAAAAGATAAAAATTTTGTGTACTTCTTGATAGAGAAATTTAGCTTCTTAGAATTTAGCTTAAAGAAGGCAGTAGAAAAGAAGAACAAGAGAGAGGCATACAGGAAATGAGGAAGAGTGAGAGAGGTAGATTCAAACCATTAATTTTTTTGCATTTTTAAATTTTTATTTATTTATTTTTATTATATCATAGCTGTGTACAATGTGATGGTTTTATATACAATTTGAAATACTTACAACAAACTGGTAACATAGCCTTCACCGCACTTTCTTAATTATTGTGTTAAGACATTTATACTCTACACTTAGTAGATTTGACATGTACCCTTGTAAAATGCACCATAGGTGTGGTCTGACCAATTACTCTCCCTCCCCCTATCCACTTCCTACCCTCTTCCTCCTCTTTCCCTTTCATCTTGGGCTGTAGTTGGGTTATAGCTTTCATATGGAAGTGTGGGTGATTATATATTGGTTTCATAGTGGAGCTGAGTACATTGTATACTTTTTCTTTCCTTCTTGAGATACTTTACTAAGAAGAATATGTTCCAGCTCCATCCATGTAAACATGAAAGAGGTAAAGTCTCCATCTTTTTCAAGGCTGCATAATATTCCATGGTGTACATATACCACAATTATTAATTCATTCATGGGTCAATGGGCACTTGGGCTTTTTCCATGACTTAGCAATTATGAATTGGGCTGCAATAAATATTCTGGTGCAAATATCTTTGTTATAAATTGATTTTTGGATATAATATCACTTTGTTATAAAGTGATATTCTGAATATACCTAGTAGAAGAATTGCAGGATTGAATGGCAGGTCTATTTTTAGGTCCCCAAGTGATCTCCAAACTTCTTTCCAAAAGGAACGTATTAGTTTGCATTCTCACCAGCAGTGCAGAAGTGTTCCCTTTTCTCCACATCCACACCAACATCTATAGTTTTGGGATTTTGTGATGTGGGCTACTCTTATTGGAGTTAGATATCTCAAGGTGGTTTTGATTTGCATTTCTCTAATGATTAAGGATGATGAGCATTTTCTCATGTGTCTGTAGGCTGTGTGCCTGTCTTCTTCAGAGAAGTTTCTATTCAAATCTCTTGCCCACAGTGAGATGGAATCACTTGTTCTTTTCTTGCTAATATGCTTCAGTTCTCTTTGGATTCTGGTTATCAAACCTTTGTCAGAGACATAACTTGCAAATATCTTCTCCCATTCTGAGGGCTGTCTGCTTGCTTTATGTACTATGTTCTTGGCTGTGCAGAAGCTTTTTAGTTTGATCAGGTCCCAGTAATGTATTTTTGGTGTTGCTTCAATTGCCCAGGGAGTCTGCTTCATAACATATTCTCCCAGGCTGATTTCTTTGAGTGTTTTTCCTGTACTCTCTTCTAGTATTTTTATAGTTTCATGTGTAACGTTTAAATCTTTTATGCAATGAGAATCTATTTTTCTTAAAGGTGAAAGGTATTGGTCCAGTTTCAGTCTTCTACAGGTTGCCAACCAGTTCACCCAGCACCATTTGTTGAATAGGGACTCTTTCCCCACTGAATGTTTTTGATAGGCTTATCAAAGATCAAATGACAATAGGTATCTGGGTTCATCTCTTGGTTCTCTATTCTGCTTTTTGTGTGTGTATGTGTTGCAGTAGTTTAGCTGGCTCTGGCTGAGTTCGAACCCTTCACCTTCGATGTATGTGCTGGCACCATAACCACTGTGCTATGGGTGCCGTTTGGCTCTCTATTCTGTTCCATACATCTGTCTCTCTATTTTTTTGTGCCAGTACCATGCTGTTTTGATCACTATAGATTTATAGTATAGTCTGAAGTCTTGTAGCATGATTCCTCCTGATCTGTTTTTATTTCAGAGTAATGTCTTGGCTAATTGAGTTTTTTTATGATTCCGTATAAAATCAAGTATTATTTTTTCCAGATCTTTAAAGTATGACAGTGGTTCTTTAATAGGGATTGCATTACAATTGTATGCTTTGGGTAGTATAGACATTTTAACAATGTAGATTCTTCCCAGCCATGAGCGTGGTATGTTTTTCCATTTGTTAACATCTATAGCTATTTCTTTTCTCAAAGTTTCATAGTTCTCTTTATAAAGATCTTTCATGTCCTTTGTTAGGTAAACTCCCAAATATTTCATCTTCTTTGGCACTACTGTAAAAGGCATAGAGTCCAAACCATTAATTTTAATTTTTATTTTATTTATTTATTTATTTATTTTGAGACAGAGCCTTAAGCTGTTACCCTGGGTAGAGTGCCATAGCATCACAGCTCACAACAACCTCCAACTCTTGGGCTCAAGCGAGTCTCTGCCTCCCAAGTAGCTGGGACTACAAGCACCCACCACAATGCCTAGCTATTTTTTGGTTGCAGCTGTCATTGTAGTTTGGTGGGCCGGGCTGGATTCGAACCCGCCAGCTCAGGTGTATGTGGCTGGCGTCTTAGCTGCTTAAACCACAGGTGCCAAGCCCAAACCACTAATTTTTAAAGGGAGGCTCTGTGCCCATAACTTAGTGGCTAAGGCGCCGCCACATACACCAGGGTTGGCAGGTTCAAACCCAGCCCGGGCCTCCTAAACAACAATGACAACTACAACAAACAAATAGCCAGGTGTTGTGGCAGACACCTGTAGTCCCAGCTATTTGGGAGGCTGAGGCAAGAGAATCACTTAAGTCCAAGAGTGTAAGGTTGCCGTGAGCTGTGATGTCCCAGCACTTTACTGAGGGCGACATAGTGAGATTCTGTCTCAAAAAAAAAAAAGAATTTTTTTTAAAGGGAAAATCTAAATGCCTAATAATAGAAGATTGACTAAAGAAAGTATGGGACATCTGAAAAATGGAATACTCTAGAGTCTTTTAAAATCACATCATAGAGGAATACTTAATAGTTTGAAATATAGTAATATTAAAGAAATAGAAAAGCAGGCTGTATATTGCATATACAGTGTGGTATATGATCTCATTCTAAAAACAAAACTAAGGATGGAGACATTACATTTTTTTTTTTTTTTTTTTTTTTTTAGAAAAGACAGAGTCTCACTTTGTCATCCTCGGTGGAGTGTTGTGGCATCACAGCTCACAACAGCCTCCAGTTCTTGGGCTTAGGCAATTCTCTTGCCTCAGCCCCCCAATAGTTGGGACTATAGGCACCTGCCACATGCCTGGCTACCTTACATCTTTTGTATTAACCTGGATGGATTTGAAATACACTCTTCTTAGTAAAATATCACAAGAATGTAAAAGCAAGTATCCAATGTACTCAATACTAATATGAAGCCAGTAGACGATCTAATACATGTCCACATAACAGAAAAACTCAATTCAATTCAAGATGGGGAGAGGAGAGAAGAGAGAGGATTTGGGGTGCTTCCACTTAATGGGCACAATGTAAGGGTGTATGACATACCTCCTAGGGATAGGACACAACTACAACAGGGAATCTACCTAACAAATGCAAACATAATAAACTAATTGTTTGTGCCCTCACATTAATCTGAAATTTTAAAAAAAAGTTAAATAAATAAATAAATAAAAACTGTTTAAAAGCAATGGATATCCATAAAATACTTTTAACATTTAATATTACCATGTAAACATTTATTTTTAAAAATGTTTTAAAACATTACATCATTAAAAATTCTTCTTTAAATATCACATTTTGTAGTTGTAAAATATTCCATGGAAAAAGATTACCATAATGTATTTAATCCATTATCATTCTGTTGGACATTTTGGTTACCTCTGGTTTTTCATTATTATTGTTATATAATATTCTATAATAGGCTCGGTTCCTGTAGCTCAAGTGGCTAGGGCACTCAGCCACATACACCAGAGCTGGTGGGTTTGAATGCAGCCCTGGCCTGCCAAACAACAATGACAACTACAACCAAAAAATAGCTGGGCGTTGTGGTGGGCACCTGTAGTCCCAGCTACCTGGGAGGCTGAGGCAGGTGAATCACTTAAGCCCAAGAGTTTGAGGTTGCTGTGTGCTCTACGGCACTCTACCCAGGGTGACAGCTTGAGATTCTGTCTCAAAAAAAAAAAAAAACAACACTCTATAATAAGCATCTTTGTGCTTCTCCTATGTCTTGAGCTATTGATAGCAACCAATTA